GCTCCTTGCTGCTGTGGCCTGGCCTGTGTAGGGTCAGATGCTTTAGGGCATCGTTCCCACTGTCTGAAGGCAGTTGGCATCCAGGCAGAAGTGCTGAGGTGAAGGCTCAGTGCATCAGTGATGGTAATTCTGCTGCCGATGCTGTCAGGCAGTTGCAAACTGGCTCTGCTTCGTCTCATCATCTGAGGATTAAGGGAGTTTATCTCAATTCACATCGAGATTACAAATCAGATTAGATTCTCAGCTTACTTGAGCCATATGGAGCTTGAAGCAAATCTGATATTGAGCACCCTCACTGCATTAGCAAGCCTGCTTTGCAAAGCTGTGCCTGAAACCTGTAATGGCATCCAAGTCCTCCAGCCCTGGTGCGAGGAACACTTCTCCTTGTGAGCTTCTTACTCTGTTCAAATCTTTCCAGTAGGATGCTATGAGGATTAATTAGTTAATGTTTATCAAGTGCTGTGAAGCTGCAAAGTGTTATTTAAGTGCTGTCTTTTTTTATCAGTCGGGACTTGGTTCTGTTTCCACCTACACTGGTTTTGGATTTGGGTAAATCCATGCATTTCATGGTTCCCAGTGTGTGTTTCTCAGTGCAATAGAGTTCCCATTGACTGTGGTGCAGATGTCTTGGTCCATGCCGCTGGAAATTTGGGTTTGCTCCAAGGCTCTCCAGTCCTGCAGTGGCAGGCAGCTCATGGTGTTGTGCTCAGTGCTACTTAGGATGGGGAAGGAGGTTTCCATTGGTGTCCAAGAGGAGCAGCAGCTTCTGGTGCTTTTTTGCTGATGCATTTTAGTGCCAACTGCAGGAAATGCAGAGATGCACTGATTTATCCCATGCATGTGTTATTTGAGCTTGGTCTCCTTACAGCTAAAACCGAAGGTATAGATTGCCAGGAGCAGGTTTGCAAAGGGTCACTTGATGAGGCTTCCTCCAGAGGAACGTGTGCAGGCAGTGGTTTGTTATCCTGGTTTTCATGTTTATTAATAAAGCCAGACATCAGATTCTGTGTACGTTAGGGGACAGGGTGAAGCACATCAACTGGAAGTGTTAAATGTAGTGCCAGAAGGTCTGAAATTCCACCACTGTACGCCCATAGATCTCGCTACAAGCATCCTGCCCTAACTGAACGCCTTGGCTGGGGATCGTGGTGTGCATTTGTGCTAAATATCACTTTTCGAGAAGTGGGAATGTGGGTTTTGGGACTGGAGCTGGAGAGAAGTGGGAGAAAGGCACGCGAAGCATGAGTGATCGCACTCCTAGGGAAGAAAGCATGGGAGGGAGTGGAGCAGCACACGCTGGCAGGAGGCTCTGTCGGGCGGCACCGCCTGCCTCGTGCTTGGCACTGGTGCTGGGTTTAGTGGAATACTAAAAATAGGGGTTTCCTTTCCCGTTACCTGCTGGGAAGCTCTGGGGATGCTGTCTGGTGTGGTCTGTAAATGCCTTTAATCATTAGGAAGGCAGCGGAGAAAAACATGGTGCTGTAAGAGGAGATGGCGTGTTGGGGAGCGCAGCACAGCGGGCACTTGGGGGAGGTCTTCATCTGTAGCCACATAAGCCTGAAAACGTGGGACTTCTCTCTTTGAAAACAGCTAAGCCTTGTCGCCGTGCTCTTTGAAAGCATGGGGTGGAGGTGGTCCTGTGTTTCAGCAGCCTCAGAGCCTGCCACAAACAAGGGCAAGTAGTTTGTAAAGAGCTTTCTAACCTGTGTGCACCACGGGCTGTAAGGAGGGGGAAAAACAGCTCATGGTTTGGTCCAGGATTTTGACGTTTTCCTGCTTTTAATAAGCAGATAAGTTAAGCCCTGAGGAATGACTGGTAGCCTTTACAGTGTTCTTATAGCGACACGTGTTAGATAAGAGATTTGGGCAGGATATTTTTAAATAAATACGTTTTGGAAAGCTATGTCTAAGCTGTGATTTTGCTGCTAAGGAAGGAATGCTGATGGACGTCCTGTCAACCAAGGATCATATCTGTTCCCCGAGAGCTAGTGCTGAACAGAGCTGTGTGGATGGCTTCCTTGAAAAGTTCTAGAAATACCAGAACCCTGGGGAGGTTGGATAGCAGTCTTATCCATTAGTTCAACATCTTGAATTGCTGGTATTGGGAACATATTTGTGCACTATCCTGGAGCTCTCTGTGGTCTTCAAGGGTGTCTCCATGAAGTTTGACTCTTTGAACGTTGTCTCTTTGAGCATTATCTCCATAAGTGTTGACTCCTTCAATGCTGACTCCTTGGACATTGTCTCTTTGAAGGTTGTTTCCATGAAGGTTGTCTCCCTGGAGCATGGACTGATTTGCCTTGCTGGAAGCTCACACCAGCCATAGACTGGAGCAGCTTGACCATCATTGCCTATTTGTGAAGTCTGCTAGTGATGCTCCAGCTCTGCTGCACCCTCATCCTTAAGTTTTTGCTGTGAATCCATGTACGATTTGCTTCTTGCACCCAAATTTGAACGGTGGCAGAATCACTGTATAGCTTTGAGTCGGTAATACACAGCAAGATGTAAAGGAAGATCATCTGTAAGAGAAGACTCGTTCTGTATAAGCTGTGTTTAGAGATGATGGACCCAATTCTGACATAAATTGCTCACAAATCTGGAGTTGGGTGAAGATGCTCTGGATCCATGCTACTGTAAAAGAGATCAAAATCTGGCTGCTTCCCTAAGATGGCCGGAAAGAGCATGAATGAATCCCCAGCAAAGCAGGGACGTGCTCGGAAATGAGCCCCCAGCTGGCACTGCTCAGCGTGCTGGAGCTGCTGAGAGCTGCTGCAGGCAGTGATGAATTAGAGGATAAAGAAGTGAAAATGAGCTGGCAGAATCTTTAGGTGACTCATCAGGTGCATCTTGTAAAGTCTCTTTCTGAGAAGTAATGAAATCGCATGTTCTAACAATATTTGCACTGCAGCGGGGAAACGCATAAATATTGGGATCAATTAATGAAATTAGATAACTTGACCAAAAAAGCCATAGCGCTGGCTCAGAAACCATCCCTCTTCCTTTTTGCTAGTCCCCATGCTTGCAGTTGGAGAGGAAAATCTTGTGGTTTGGTGTCGCAGCTAAGCCAGCCAAGACGTGGCCAGGCACAGAGTGACTTGGGTCCTCAAGCTGATGGGGTGAGTGTCCTCACATGGCCTCCCACCCTTTGGTTTTGGGGTTGGTGAAGGCAGATCCACCTTGTGGCTGCTGACCATGTAGATTGCCTTGTCACGTTGTCATCTGTAAAACGGGGAATAGCATTTTTCCTTAAAAAGGGAGGTTATTTTTAGGAAAGAGATGGATGTGTGCATCAGCCTGTGACATTTAGGGGCTCAAGGAACTCAATGCACGTGGTGACTTTCATCACAGAGTTCCAGATCTGCAGTGAGAGCTGAATTCAGAGTAATACAGAATAGAAATAGAATCACGGAATCATTAAAGAACTCTAAGATCACCAAACCCAGCCCCGTCTCATCCCCACCATGCCCATAACCACGTCCCTCAGTGCCACATCTCCATGGTTCTGGAGCACTTCCAGGGATGGTGACCCCACCATTTCCCTGGGGAGCCCATGCCAATGCATTACCCCTCTTTCTGAGAACAAATTCTTCCTAATATCCAACCTGAACCTCCCCTGGGCAACCTGAGTCCATGACCTCTTGTCCTGTTCCGTTACCTCTTGTGGCTGCTTGTAGCAGTGGGACAATTTCTGCTCGTTATAATGGAATAATTATCTTATTTCAGAAGTGTTCTCGTGGATTTGTACTTGAGGAAGGTACTAATGCTTAGAGAAAGAATGGCAGAACTGAGCTTAACTGTGCTGTAAAACTAAAGCATGAATGCCTGGATCTCTGCATCGGGCAATGGAGGAGCGCAAGCTCTGTGAGCAGAAGAGCTCTTGCTATCTTTGGATCCATCCACTGCAAGAGCAGATCTCGTCAGGTTAGCCTCCCCTAGGCCTGGCACTGGCACAACTGTTGTTGGAATGATTTGTCTGCTTTCTGGCGTCCTCGTTTTAAGAGGATGTTGACAAATTGGAAGGAGCTAAAAGAGCCACGAGGGTGGTTAAAAGATTGGCAAATGTGCCTGGCCAAGAAGGCAGCCAGGCTCCTAGCTCTGCTGTTCTATTTTTTCCTTTAAGTGAAGGTTAAAGGGAGGGTTTAGCAGCTCCAGGTACCTGTGTGAAGAATGCCAGCAGACAGCTCTGAAGGCTGTCAGACAGAGGAGCAGCACCAGTGGCTGGGAGCCAAAGCCTGGCCGTGGCTGGAAGGTAGAACAGCTTTTAATAGGAAGGGCAGTTTAACTGTTCGGATATTTTGTGTGAGTCCTGTTTTGTTTGGCCATCTCTGGAACGTGTATGTTGATACCTAAATAGACATCTCACGTGCATCTTCTCTGCCTGGAGATGTTATGGATGCTCCATCCACAGAGGTACTCAAGGGCAGGGTGGAAGGGGCCGTGAGCAGCATCATCTGGTGCCTGTTTTAGTGGTTGACAACGCTGTCTGCATCAAGGCTTGGAACTCATTGAAGTCCTTCCAACCTAAGCCGTTCTATGACTGATTCTTCAATTCTGTGATTCTGTGAAAATGGGGATATTTTTCTTCCAGATAACCATAAGCTATGCAGTGTTAGTGGTCCCCTCTCCATCACCTCTGTCTGTAACCATGCACGCTCTTCAGCTTCTGTTATTCCTTGGTGCTCAAAGATCTCAGCTGTGTGAGCCAGATTTGAAGTATTTTGATGCCCAGTTGCAGTCAGTAAGACAATCTCTGGTTTGTTAAAGCTTGTGGCTGCTGTTCTTTCCTATTGTCCAATGTACAAAGCGTAACTTTTCAACCCAGCACCTTGCTGGCCACTCAAATTGGAAAGAGCTCAGTCTGTAAAAGCGCTTTCAGTCCAGGACAGTACTGAAAATTTCCTGCTGCAGCTTCAAGCAGCCCCCAGTGATGAATATTTGGGGGTTGGCATGAGACTTGGGAAAGCCTTTGCTAACTGTTATGCTCTCTTTTGTTTTTCTAGCTGTGGGGAGCTCAAAAAATAAAGCAGGTAATGTGCTTTTTTCTATGTCCTGCCTGCTCGGGGCTGCTGCTTTCTCCCTTTTTGCTGAGTGATGCTGTCCTATCCGTTCCTAGCTGCCAGTTGCTGGTTTCCTTTATTGCAGACATGTAAATGCAGCGAGTGCTGCCACCCAAGAGTCTGATTTTTATCTTTATTTTTTATCTTTTCACTGTATTTCTGTATTTTGACATCTTCATTTTCTTCCTCCTGTCTAATCAAGAGCTTTCTTGTCCTTCAGGAATAGTTTGGTAGTTTTTCTGGCTGTGGCATACCTCCTCCTGTAGACTCATGCTGGTGAATCTGACCTCTTTGTAACAAAAAAATGGTAAAATTGCAGCTTCATTGCTCTCATCAGCAGAGCAGAATTAGGTTTTCCATTGAATTTGGGCTGTCTGTGGCCATGGGGTTGGCCAAGGAGATACAGACACAAGGGATGAACCTGCTAGAGAATTTCATGTGGATGGATCCCCATGGTGCTGTTCACACCTGCGCACTTTTTATCCCACCTCAGCCACATTCTGAAGCAACATTTCTGTATTTCAGGCTAAATTTCCGTATCATCTCCTACCTTATTACTTAAGGAGATGGGAAGACAGCAATAGGAAGAGGTGTGGGACAGGAGGAGGGGATTTGGGGCAGCAGGAGGGGGTTGGGACAGCTCTTGGAAGCAGTAGAGGCGATATCCTTGCACAGCTTCAGCATTCCTACGCTGTTACTCTGCCCTCACTATGGCTGTTTGCTGATTATTTTGCAGGCCATCATCCATCCTGACACAAACGAGACCATCTTCATGCCTTTCAGAATGTCAGGTACAGTATGTCCTACTCAAGCAGTCATTAATTTCAGTGGGAATTTGTACAAAACGGTGTATTTTCTTCCTGCTTTTCTTTTTCTTTTTTGGTGTTATATCTTGAAGCATTTAAACCAGATGCTGGAAGTAGTCCAAGCACCCAAATCCCTTAGAAATCAAGCTGATTTGGGACCCTCAATACCTGCCTGAGGTCTGGTGCTTAATATTTCCCTCTCCTTGTCAAGATGCTATCCTTTCTGGTATCTATTATCACAACGATGATTCTAACTCTCTAGTAAACAGCCAAACTTGAGGATTTGAGTGCAGCTTTGGTCCTTTCCCCAAACTCTGGGAGCTGTGGGAGGGGTTGCATCCCTCTTTTATAGGAGGGATAGGACCAACTCCTTAGGATCCATTCCATTAGTAGGGCACACAGGGAGCGTCTTCACTGGGTAAAGCAGCCAAAGCAGAGGGGAAAATAATGGGGCTGGTGGGTTTTGTTCTTTTTCTTTGAAAAAGGTTGAGTTTGAGGGTGAAGCATGGGGACAAAAAGCCCAGGACCCACTCCTCTGCTGCCTTATTCAGTATTTTTAAACAAATGTTTTGTCCTCATGGGTCACTGCCCCTTCTGACTGTGAATTGGATCCATGAGGTGTGTAACTCAGTAACACTGACAAAATGCTGAGACCTTCCGGTGGAAGTCATAGAGATGGGTTATAATTAGCACAGAAATTGGCAATCTTAGCAGAGGAAAAATGTGAAGCCTTTGATTTCTGTGGTGCTTAACAAGATTTGGGGTAAAGCCTTCTCTAGGGCAGAAAGCTCTAGCTTATACTCCATCCCTGGAGGCATTCAAGGCCAGGCTGGATGTGGCTCTGGGCAGCCTGGTCTGCTGGTTGGCCACCCAGCACATAGCAGGAGGGTTGGAACTGGATGCTCCTTGTGGTCCTTTTCAACCCAGGCCATTCTGTGATACCTGTGATTAAAATAGTCGCTAGGTGTGCCTTGTACCCTGAACCCATAGCACTGTTAGATTTATTAGGTGCGATGCCTTTTGCAGCCCAAAATGACATATTAGAATGCATGAATCTCTCTTTCTTTTCTTAATTTTCCTAATAGGTTACATTCCCTTTGGAACACCCATTGTAAGTATTTTAACCTCCCTCTGTGCTTTGGTTGTGAGTAACAGAGAATGCATTTTTTAACACTCACGCACAATTCTCCAAGCTGCACCTTGCTGCCTTGCTGCAGATTCACACCAGCTTCATGCCTTCCCCATCATCTACCTGTGCCATGTGTGCTCCGGGCCGGCCGTCCATTCAGCAGCATCCTCCTGCTGCTTTCTGCAACATCCTCATCTTTGTGTTTCCAGCGGGGAAAGGGACTGGGAGGAGCTCACACTGCCTTCTGCAGCTCGTGGATCTGTCTTTGGGGGCCATTTGCACATTTTGCAAGTCACTTCCCAGCCGTGGCAAGCGCAGGGAGCTGGAGGCCAGCGTCTCATTTCCTTCTCTTCATTAATTAAAACGGCAAGGGCTTCGTGCTGAGGGTGTTCTTCATTTTGTTACTGTGAAATTTGTAAGCATTTGGGTGCTGTTGACAGCCAAAGCCAGAACGGAGATAACTCTGCGTTCCTTGTCTTCAGAGCAGCAAATATTAATTAACCCCACTTTGTGAACGGGGAAACTGGGGTGCGAGGCTTTGTCCAAAACCACACAAGCTGGTGCCACAGGGCTGAGCAAATCCAGCTTGGTCCTTCCACCTCCAGCTCTTCCCTCACCCTATCGCATCCGCCTTATTATAACCACGGAAAGAGCAAGTTGTGCCACGGAGGGTCAGGTTGGGTATTAGGAAAAATTTCTTCTCTGAAAGAGTTGTCTGGCATTGGGAGCAGGCTGCCCAGGGAGTCACTGTCCCTGGAGGTGTCCAAGAACCGTGGAGATCATAGAACCATTTGAGTTGGAAGGGGCCTTTGAAGGTCATCCAGTCCAACTCCCGTGCAATAGATCGGGTTGTAGATGTGGCCTTTGGGGACGTGATTTGATTGGCATGATGGTGACGGGTTGAAGTTTGCACTTGATCGTAGAGGTCTTTTCCAACCTTAATTATTCTATGATTGCATGAAAAGCTGCTCAATTTAATCTCCTAAACCCAGTGGACTGTGGCGTGATGCTTATGGAGCAGTAACGATCCCTTCCCGACTGGTGGCAACGGGGTGGCTGGGAGCTGAAGGCAGAAAGCAGCCCCCAGCACGGCTGTTGCTATTTGTTGTCATGTGCAGCGTGGTGGCAGTAACTCTGTATGGGGCATTTTAAAGGAAAAGGTTAAACAAAAATGAGTTAACGCTCAAATTGACAATGAAATCGGCCCCAATCCAGAGCTGTCAGAGGAGCCGAGAGCTGTCAGATGAGCCCAATTTCGTTAGCTGTAAAGGATAAACTGGAACCTCTTGTCATTTAAAAAAAAAAAAAAAAAAAAAGGAAAAAAAAAAAAAGGAAGGGGAAAAAAAAAAAAGAGAAACCAAACGTTTCAAATGTTAAAATTAAAATGTAACATTTATGCCAATCGATCTGTGAAATTTAGTGACAAAATTGGCAGCCTGCTCTAGCATAAAAACAGTTTGAGCCTTGCCTTCAGCATAGGGGGATGGGATTTCCTCAAGAGAGGCTCGGGGTGCCTGCGGCGAGCGCTCGCCTGGGATTAAAGCCTGGTGATAATAATCATTTTTTTTCTGGATTAAGCAGCTCTGCCAAAGCCAAATCCTGTGGCTGTGTGTGCATCCCTTGGGCAGAGCCTGGAGCCAGGGAACTACGATCTTTTGCTTCCACCTCCGTCATTTCTAAGGCTGTGTGCATGGTTCAACCTTCATCCACCTTTTCACCTTCCATAGGTTTCACCTTCCATAGGTTTCACCTTCCATAGGTTTCTCTCTTCCTTGCTTTGTGCTCCCAGCCAGTGAGTGAGGTTTGTCGGAGCTTAGGTTATGCAGCCCAGCACCATTTGGGCACATCATTTCCTCCAGGCATATGAAAACGGGGTAAAACATTTCATTTTTGGTGAGTGCTCATTGGGCTGGAAGAGCCAACCATATTGCCAGCAGATCCAGCTCGTGGGCAGGACTCACTGCCCTTTTGCATTCATGTTGTTTCAGGGGTTCAAGGTTTTTTGTGGTTCACAATTTTGGGGGGTTTTCTTTTTTTGGGGCTTATGGATCTTTTGGGTTCTGTTTTTTGAGAGTCGACAGGTTTTTTTGGGTTCACAGTGTTTTTGGGGTCTCCTCATCTTTGGGGTTTGCTGTCTTTTGGTTCTCCTTTGAGTTCCCCATATTCAGGGTTTGTTGTGTTTTGGGCTCGCCATCTTTTAGACTCACTGTTTTTGAGTTCTTTGAACTCACCACCTTTTGGGTTCACGGTCTTTTGGGCACGTTGTCTTTGGGGTTTGCTATCTTTGGGTTCTCCTTATTTAGGCTCACTGCTTTTTGGGTTCATCATCTTTGAGGTTCATTGTCTTTTGGGCTCATTGTCTTTGGGGTTTGCTATCTTTGGGTTCTACTTCTTTGGGTCACCACTTTTTGGGTTCATCATCTTCAGGGTTCGTTGTCTTTTGGGCTCGTGATTTTTGGGCTTCGCTGTATTTGGGTTCTTCTTTGAACTCACCACTTTTTGAGTTCATGGTCTTTTGGGCACCTTGTCTTTGGGGTTTGCTGTCTTTGGGTTCTTCTTCTTTGAACTTGCCAGTTTTTTGGTTCATGCTCTTTGGGTTTGTCATCTTTTGGATTTGCCACTTTTTGGAGCTCACCATTTTTTCAGGCTCCCCATTTTTTTGTACTCACCACTGTTAAGGCTCTATGCTTTATGGCTGCGTTCTGAAAGCTCCTGTAGTATCCAAGTATCCAGGTATCCAAGTCCTCTGATGGTCGTTTCAGACAACTCCATATCAAACGGGTGGGTGAAATTTGCAACCCGCTCCTTTGTCCTCTGGGATTCAGATGAGGAGCCTTGTTGGGACTGGGGAACACCTGGAGCAGAGCCTTGTGTCCATGCAGGTAACAGGCAAATAGAGCAGGGCTCGAGGCTGCAAAATGAGAACTCCACTGCAGACATGCCGAGAGCCGACAGACGTCTGGAAAGTGCCTGCAGCCCTGGTCTGCAGCCACAAAGGGCTGTTTGCACCTGATAGGCAATTAAATTTTGTTAGCTGGTACTTTTCTAGTGCTTAGAAGCTTTTTTTTTTTTTCTTTTTTTCCCTCTTTTTTTTTTTTTTTTAATATATATTTTGTTTTCCTTCTTAGTTATTTTTTCCCCTGACAGTAATTAAAAGTGAAACTGTACATTTCTTGACAGACTCTTGCACATATGGAGAGTTTGCATTTAAACGTGCCTCTTTCAGTCATACAGATTTTGGGTGCTCTTTTATTTATTTATTTCCCCCTCCCTTCTCTCCCTCCCTCTCGCGCTCTGACTGCTGCTGCTGCGGGGGCTGCTTGTCTCCTTCTTCCTCCTCAAAGCTTCCCTGGTCCCCGTGGGGCACTCGGTGGTTTTGGGATGAGGATGGGGTCGCACCTGTTGAGTTCATTTGGCTCTGACCGACAGCAGTGCAATTAACAAGATCCTCATCGTCAACGGGAGCGGCGAATCGGTGGGACTCGCACGTCTTGGCCTTCAGCCAGTGCACCGAGCGGCTGCAACTCAGAGAAAGGCTGGAGGAGGAAGAGCTGGAGGGAGGAAAGAGAGGAAAGATGTAAATGAGAGCGGCCTCGCAGCCCTACTGCCCCTCTGTTTGTTGTTATTTCTCTTCGATGTCAAGCGTGGGGGTTGGCTCCTCTTCAGCTGCTGTTGCTGCAGGTGGATGGGGCTGGATTGAGCTCTCCTCATCTTGTGGCAGTGCTTGTGCTCCAATGGAGAAGTTTGCATTCTTCTCGGCATTGCCGGGAACAACCATAAAGGAAGAGGTGCTGAGATGGTCTGTGAGCATTGGGTGAACTTGGAGTCTTCTTGCCCAGCTGCCCCAGAGACATTTCAGACCACGTTGATACCCAAGCAGCCCAAAAATCAACACATTTGGAATTAAAAGTTGTTTGGTCTTTGTACTCTTTGTGAAGATGCAAATGTGAATTCGTGCTGTGAAGAGCACCTTCATAAACTATCAGAAGATAGAGGGAAGAGAGAAAATGACAGTGATGTTACGAAGCCCCACTTCTTCACAGTGGGGTTTCCCTAGTTCCCTTCTTACCTGCTTCTTACCCAGGAACTCCTGTCCCCGCTCATTGGGTTTATTGCTGGGAGCCCCTTTGCTTTCCTTCCATCTCCTCTTCTTGCCGGGTCCTTCACAACAGCTCCATGCATCACTACAGCCTCAGGGCAGCGTGCCTGAAAGCTGCATGGAGGAAAAGGGTCTGTGTCAGTTGGTCAACCCTTGGCTGAACATGAGCCAGCAGTGTGCCCAGGACTCAAGATGCCCCAGTGAAAGTTCAGGTTGGACATTAGGAAACGTTTCTTCTCCGAAAGAGCCATCAGGCACTGGCAGAGGCTGCCTGAGGAGGAAGTGGAGTCAGCATCATGAACCATGGTGACGTGGCACTGAGGAATGTAGTCATGGGCACGGTGGGGATGGGTTGAGTTGGGGTTGGGGATCTCAGAGCTCTTTTCCAATCTTTATGGCTCTATGCTTTTTCAGTTTTTTTACCCTTGAGGGGAACAGGCTGCCGTCAAACAGAGCAGGAAGGATTCTGGCAGCACTGCATCCTCTGCAAGAGATGGATTCTCTGAAGAATTGCAGGAATGAGCCTGAATGGTATTTTGAGGCATCCCAAGGATGCTGGCAGTGCCACGTGGACAGTGCATACATACAGGCTCAGATCAGCAGTTCTCTTTGAACAAAACAGGTGGCTCCAAAACAGGAGCACATGTGCTTCTGGGTGGCACTCCTGTCTTCAGATGTTCAAACCTCATTGCTTTCCTGGGTGATTCTGTTCCCTCACCTGCTTGTTCCTGGTTGTGCTCTGGTCACTCACCATGAAATAAAGCTCACACATGGACATATCTTATTAGAGGCAAAAGAACTATGCTTGCTGTTTTCTTGCCTAGCAGAGCATCAACAAACCATGTGTATGTTAACACTAATCTCTTCTCTTGCAGGTTGTTGGTCTTCTTCTGCCCAACCAGACGATAGCATCCACTGTGTTTTGGCAGGTAAGGCTCATCTGCCTCTGTGTGCTGAATGGGTGGGGGACGTCATGCAAAGGAAAGCAGCCTTGACTTGTGTCTTCAGGACAGCCTGGTGCATGCAGCTTTGTGGCACGTTAGGGGGAGATTATGGCTTTTTAGCTTTAAAGTTTGTTTTTAGATCTGGTTTTTAGATCTAGTTGCTTATTTCCATGATCAAGTGCTTGTTGTGCTTCTGTGTGCATGGAGTGCTGGTGAAAGCCGCGTGCGTTTCTATCTCAGCTCTAAGGGTCGGTGCATGCAAGAGCTTGTACAAAGATGTGGCAAATCACAGACGGGTCCGAAAGGAGATGGCACTCCCGTGTTTGTAGACCTGATTTACTGCAAGGTTACGTTTACATCTCTCTCTTTTTATTTCCTCTGTAGTGGTTGAATCAGAGCCACAATGCGTGCGTCAACTATGCAAACCGCAATGCGACAAAGGTGAGGAGACCCAGCATATGCGGCGTGCGCTGCGTGCTAGCTCTGTTTTGACATGGAAACATAAGTCTTGTCTCTTGGCTGTTAATAGAAACTGCAGAGTAGGCACTGTGTTGAATTTGTAGCTTGGCCATTCTCCTGTAGAGACTTCCGTTTCGTTGTGGCTGTGAATGGCTCAAGGATCTCGAAATCACTTGAAGCTCAGGAGCAATGCTCAGTGCCTTCACACTGAGCCAGGGTGGGGTTTAATCAGTATGAATTAAATTGGGTGTGTAAATGAGCACGAAGCAATGTCTGTTTGGGTGTTTGGATAGCAAAGGAAGGCTCCCTGGTCACCCTTCTGTGTCATGAGGACGTTCAGTACGCAGCCCAGGCATCATGCTGGCCCTGCTCTCTTCCCCTTCCTCAGTGTTGATTCGTGTCTTGTGGGGATGTGGGAGCTCACAAGAGGAATCTGAGATGGAAACCATCTAACTCACTGTGATAGCATTTCAAGGACAAATGTTTGATAAGGAGAGTTTGGGGTTCACTGCATGTGTATAAGAATAGCAATGTTTTTTTTTCTATTTTTTTCCCACTTACTGAATTTCTTTCACATATTCTTTTAACTGCTATTATTACAATTTGTGATGCCAATTAATTTTCCATTCCCTTTAACCTTGCTCATGAGGTTACATTTTTCCTTGGGCTTGCTGCTGCTAGATGACAGACCGTGTGTCACAGAACAATATGACAAAATTAAACCTGTCTCTGGTTTAAAGAAAATACAAAAAGGAAAAGTACCCCCAAACAACAAAAACAGCTCAGTTGCATTTTAATAACCAGAAGTTTGTTTATTGAAAATATGTTTTGTTTTTCTTTCCAAAGCCTTCTCCGACGTCCAAGTTCATCCAGGGCTACTTGGGAGCTGTCATAAGTGCTGTCTCAATAGCAGTGGGTAACGCTTTATGTATTACACTACTAAGTAACTGCTCCCTTCCAGCAGCACTGCAGTGCTTTTGAGATGTTTCTTTGAATTGCCAAGCATGTTTAGATTTTAATTGACACAGCTCAGTCTAAACAACAAGAAAATATTTTAACCATGAGGAGTCTTTGTCCATGCATGCCCAAGCTTTTCAACAGAAGGAGACTTCTGCCACTGATTGCTGCCAGCATGTCCTGCACTGTGCTCTGCTTGGGTCTCTGTGCTGTTGCTTTGCTGCTGGGTGAACTCAAATTATCCACGCGTGCAGGGAGCCTACAAACAGGAGGGGAATCATCTCTTTGAAAGGTAGATAACAGCAGGACGAGGGGAAATGGTTTGAAGTTGAGGGAAGGAAGATTGAGGTTGGATGTGAGGGGGAAGTTCTTGACAGAGAGAGTGGTGAGGTGCTGGAACAGCTGCCCAGAGAGGCTGTGGATGCCCCGTCCATCCCTGGAGGTGTTCAAGGCCAGGTTGGATGGGGCCCTGGGCAGCCTGGGCTGCTGTGAAATGTGGAGATTGGTGACCCTGCCTGTTTTGGGGCAAAAGGCTGTGTGGGCTTGTTAAGACTTCTTTACAGTGTTTCTACAGAGCCAACTGGTGATGGTTAGAAGAATTACGTAGATGGGAGTAAGATGGATTTCCATGGTGTTGGCTTGGCTTGCTCACTGGCTGCCTCTCCTAGAATTAACCTGTGCACACTGACCAGCCTTCTGTTGGAATGAGCTTCCATACTTCATAACCCCATAGACAGAGGGCAGGAGGCAGAGAGAAGTGATATCAGCAGAGTTTTGTCATCCCACAGAGCTCATGGGCTCCATAAGGAAACTACTTGGGCCAAGAGCAGAGCTGACCATGGTGGGATGGCTCTCATTCCTCTTGTGCTGATTTGCAAAGGAGCTGAAGCACTTCAGGGAACCACCAGTGGGAGAAACTCATCCTCTGAAACAGCATGAAAAGCTTCCCAAAGACCTGGGGATAAAGGAATTGCATCCAACCAGCAGTGGCCTGCAGGCTCTGCAGGGTGGTTGTCACCACTGGTGGCACGTGGGCCACTTGGCACTGCTGATGGGAGATGCCATGCTGCAGTGGACTTCTATGGAAGGCACTTGATGCCTGCAAAGAGTATTGCAAGGTATCGCACAGAATCATAGAATCCTTGGAGTTGGAAGGGACCTTTAAAGCTCCTTTAGTCCAACTGCCTTGCAATGAATAGGGACATGCACAACCAGATAGTTATTTGTAGATCTGAGGGGTGCAGTGTTGCTATGGGGAGGTGGCAGCTCTCCTTCCATCTGAGGGAGCAGTGAAAGGCAGCAGCTTTAAGGCTGCTTCCTCCTTCCTGATGTGTGCAGGTCTGTTGGCTTCAGCGTGGGGTCAGCCGTGGTGCTTGGGGTGCACTGAAAGTGGACACTTGCAAAAAGATGGCAAAGTCTGCACACACTGAGGTCCCTGAACAGACAAGCCCTTGGGGACAGGAGCAAGGCAGAAATCCCCTATTGCTGGCTCAGAGCCGCCTGGAGAAAATCCTGCAGGCAGGGAGTGATTTTTATGTTGTAAATATCTGGATTAATAACCAACAGCTCCTCAAGAGGTTGTTGGTTTTATTTTGTTTTTTTGTTTTTTTGTTTTTTTTTTTTGTAAATGGTGATGACAAATAATTTAGCAGCAGCCTCGAGTTTCATTATGTCGGATTCTAAGGCCTCAGCCCTCATTAACCGGTGTCTGCTGTCAGTTAGCAATAAATCACCTCCCAGTGTGAGCCTATTAGGACCAGATGACCTGAAAACAAGTGCCACTGCCTCCAGTGGTCTGCTGAGACCCGGTATTAATTAAAGCAGGCCCCTTCCATGTTTGCAGTTGGCAAGCGATGCAGGGAGGAGGCTGGGGAAGTGACAGATCAGCTGGGTTGTGATGCTGCTTACCATCGTCTTAAGCCTGTGCGGTTTCATCTGAAGAGAGGGACAAACAAACGGCTTTCTCACGTGGATGGAAGAGCAGATTTTGGCTTTATACTTCTTGCAATTAAACTAGAAGTCTCAGCAAATCTTTGCAAGTAACATTATTCCTTTCTCATTTGAGAGAAATGAGAAATCTCCGTTACAGAGAAGCAGCATAGATCTGGGACTGCTGCTGTGCAGTCCTTTGGGATGAGGAATTTTAGAGGAATTAATATTTATTTACTATGCATTAATATGGGATATATTACATATTTTTTCAGTAACTTTCAGTATTTCTTTTTTTCAATATTTCTTTTCCTTCCACCTTACTGATCTGGCACCTCATCTTGTGGTTGGCAACCAGCTTGTGACAGGAAGGTTGGAACCAGATGATCTTTGAGGTCCCTTCCAACCCAAACCATTCTACAGTTCTTTGGTTCTACTCCCAGCCTGATTCACAGAATAGCTCTGGGCAAAGGAATCTGTGCCAGAATTTTATTTCTTCTCCAGTACAGTATTGCTTGAGACAAGGCTAGAGCTGACCTCAGAAGGAAGGACCTTAAGATTGGCCAAGAGCAAGGAGACGGAGGAACCAATGTACCAGATCTCCTCCACCTCTGATGTTTTTGCTTGTCGTATATGGTGTTCCTTTCTGCCAGTGACACACTGCTCCCCATCAGCACCTGACATGAAAGAGAAAATGAAAGCGTTGGTCTGAGATCTGTCATCCTTAGGACAGAAGAACAAGAGAGGTTTGTCCCCATTAAAAATGTGGCCAGATTCCTTCCTTGAAGTATGCCAGCTTATGTAACATTATAGATGGCTTTTATTAAGAGAATGTTTAGGATTGTTTGTGGGCTCAGGTCTTGTCAATACAAAGAGAAATGTGTTGTTCTTGCTTAGCAACCTGAGCTAGGTTCAGAACAAAAGTAGGTGTTTTGTCTTTGGTATAAAACCAGAGCTGCAGTGGCACGTAACCACAGCCGCCAGGCTCTGCTTTTGTGTTGGTCTGTGTGCTTGAAACATCACAGAATCATCAGTGTTGCAAAAGACCTCTAAGATCCCCAAGTCCAACCCCAGCCCATCCCCACCATGCCCACTGACCAGGTCTCTCAGTGCCACATCTCCATGCTCTGACCACTCTGCTGGAGAAATTTCTCCTAATATTAAACACGAACCCTCCCCTAGTGTAACTTAAGGCCAACTAAGCAGGGCATGAATGTTTCCTTTTGGTTTACCTTACTAGCTAACCTTGGGTTAAAAAATCAGGTGATTGATAACCCATTAATAACCTCAGTGCCCAGTGCTGGTATTGATGGCTGGCCTTGGAGGCCAGGAGGGTGTTGAAAGCTGCTCTTCAAGGACTGATCCACTGTACTCTTAAAAGTGTTGATACAGAAAGACCACCATGCTTTCTGACCCTAAATACTGGCTTTGGACTATGAACCATCCCCCACAGTGCCCACTGAGCCTTGTCCCTCATGCTGTGTCTCTTCTGGTTGCTTGTCACTCTTCCTGTCCCTGCAGGTAGAAATGGAGTGAATGCTGCTTGGCTGGGTGCATCCAGCAGGATGGCCTCACTTATCAACTCTGCTTCAGGGTAGGGGAATGCGGCCCAGTGACCTGGTATCAGTTCTGATGGATGGAGTTCTTCAGAGCAGGGACTCAACCAGAGGTGCTCCAGGATTCAAATTCCCACTATTGCAGCAAGAAATCTCTTTTCCCCTTCAGGCATCTTGGAGGTCATCCTGGGGCAGTTTTCACAGAATCACAGAATTGTAGGGGTTGGAAGGGACCTCCAGAGATCATCGAGTCCAACCCCCCTGCCAAAGCAGGTTCCCTACAGCAGGTCGCACAGGTAGGTTTTCTCCTTAGTGATGTTACTTCTAAGAAAACACATCTTGCTTGTTGGTAAAGAAACAGCAGCGTTCTGCAGAGCTGTATGAGGATGCTCTGCTGTCTGTCTGGGCTCACATCTGAACCTGCACACTGGGAAGATCAGAGCTGATGGATGTATGGAGCTCCTGATAGAGCCCTCACTCCTGGGAATGCTTCCTGGGTGCTCTCGTAGTTACTGTAGGTTTCAGTTGTGCTTCCTGAGTTTTTCAAGCATGGTAATTTGTCTTGGAGATTTTGGGTTTTATTTCCATGGGTTTCATAAATCATAACCCAAGTGGGGATCTCAGATGTGGTCACAATTGGTCGATCAGAAATGTTACATAAAAAATGGAACTCCTAAGTTTATATTTAGTTGTAAAAAAGGAAAAAAAAAAATAAAAATGGTACAGGAGTCTAATCTGCAAAGCCAAGCCTAGTGTGCATCTAAGAGATCAGCTTAAAGCAGAGCTTGCTTCTGGACAAATGGACTTTGCAAAAATGATATTTTCAGACCAAGCAGGTCTTTTTCCCCATAGAAAAAGTCAGCATCTCACAAAATCAAAATCTGCTTTGTCTTGAAAACATCCATTGTAACGCAAGATATTCTCAAGCCATGGAGGATTTCAGCAGAAAGATCTTATTTGCCTTCTCCGAAGGAAGCTGAGAGGTGAAGACAATTCAAGCCTAGGATTATAGCTGTAAAACAATATTAGCATCGTGGTGGCTGTGTCACAGCCAGCTTTTGGCAGTAGCTGCCCTTGCAGCCCAGGCTCCCACAGCTCAGCAAACTGTACAGCTCTGCCATTCCCAGGGAATGTTTGCTGAAATATGCAGATATAAAAATATTGTAACACCATGGAGTGAGAATAATGGGGGAAAGAGTGCGTTTATATACGGCAGCTCTGTTCGAGGAGAGGAGAGTGAGAGGAGAGTGAGAGGAGAGTGAGAGGAGAGTGAGAGGAGAGTGAGAGGAGAGGAGAGGAGAGGAGAGGAGAGGAGAGGAGAGGAGAGGAGAGGAGAGGAGAGGAGAGGAGAAGGGAAAATAGAAAAAAGAAAAAAGAGGAGAGAAGAGAGAAGTGAAATGAAAGAAACGAGAAGGAGGAAGAAGGAAAAAGAGAAGAGCTGTGTGATGCTTGCAGGCAGGATATTTATCCCAAACTAGAAGGGTCAATCTAAGGCATCAATGAGATAAATTAGAGTTGGACTGACTCAATACCCTTAGAAAATTCACAAGATGAAAAAGAACAGGATCTTAATTTATTTTCCCAATTCAGAGTGGACAGGAACACCTGTTGGCCTGAGTGGTCCCTTGGTGGTCCGGAGCACCCGTGCTCTCCTGCTCACACCATAACTGGCCATTTGCTCTCCTTCCCATGGCGCGCTGAACTCGCGCACGCACCGACACCATTTTTCGCCTCCCTCTCCAGGTGAAGGTGCCCCTGTGGATTTTTCTAATCCCAACTCCCTCTTCCTGATAATTGTTTGTGAGCCGTGCAGAGCAGCTGCATTGACAGCCTGCGAATGGGGTGTGATGGCCGTAATCAGGTTGTGGGCCACCCACCGCCGTGGGGCTGCCGGCCACTGCGTGCGGCACGGAAAGCACAGGGCTGGAGGGAGTCCAGGGAGAGCATCCAAAGGAGGGCTATGGGGATGGGAAAGGCTCTGCCCCACGGGGCAGTGGGCATGAAACAGTGTCCCCAAGGCAGCGAGCGTGGCGCTGAGCTGCCAGAGCTCATGGTGCACTGGGACACTGCTCTCAGATGCAGATTCAGGCCTTGGGCATGGGAGCTGTTGTTCTCCTCTTTGTTCCTTATCGCCTATCAAATCGTTGTGCCATTTTCTTCCACTGACGTGCCCAACTGTGGGGCTGCTGCCCTTATCCTTTCTGCCATCGTTTTGGGTCTGACCGATGTTACCTTCTTGCCTTGCTCTTGTTTCTCTCCAACTTCTTTCTCCACTTAGTTCATTTCTGCTTTCCCTTCCCTGTGCTCCTCCATTCTGTTCTCCTTGGCTTGGTAAAGCTCCAGTTGGTAAACGGCCCAGTTTCCCATCTCTCTGCCTCCATCTTCACCTCTCAGCCCTAATGAATGATTTTTTTCCTTCCTTTTCCTAATGCTCTTTTCTTTAGTTTAGCTGGATGGGGCTCATCAGATCCAATTAGTGCTGTGGTGTTTTAATTCAGCAATCTGGTGATTTTGGGGCTGAAGAAGCAGCTTCCTTCGAGCCATTCCCTGCTTCCAAACCGACTCTCTAAGTCACCTGAACCAGCTCAAACTGTAGTATTCCGTGTGCTATGGCCCATATGCTGCTGAAACCTGGGAAAGGTGTCCCTGTTCACTGCAGGAAAGTTGGACTGGTTGGCCCTTCCAACTCCATGGATTCTATGATTTTGTGAAAGCCGAATCCCTTGCATCAGTGGAGCTCTAACCCACACAATGAAGTGTAGAGACCCATCTCATCAGCATCTTCCAACCCATGTCTGCCTTCTTTGTGGGATTTCTTCTGTTTAGTAAAAAAAAATTTGCTGTCAAAATAATGCAAAATCACTTCTTTTTGAGTGATTTGATGTATTTACTGCTGTGGCTCAAGGGGGGGTAGGGTTGGAGCTCCTTCAAGTGAGTCAGTCATTGCCGACGTGAGGAATTGAAAAGCTGCTCCTCAGGCTTCAAAAATATTAGCAGTCATAAAGTAAAAAGTTGGATTTTTTAGAATGAAAAAAGGATTTTTTTTTTGTTTTGGTCTTGTGTTTTCCACGCTTTTCAAATTCATATTGTAGTGGATATGAAGTCAGAACTTTTTAGGGCAGGAAGGAAAAGAAAGAGAAAGGGGGAAGAAAAGGGAATCTCTCGGTAGCTGATTACGCACAGTCTCCCACTCCACCAACCCTGGTTTCATGGTGCAGGAGTTCAACATCCCCAAAACCCAGCTTCCCCAGCTCATCAGGATGCACTGTCATCCCAGCTGATGGGCTGTGTAGAATGAAACCTCAAAGAAGGTGCAATTTTAAAAAGCTGGATCCATCCCCTAGTCTGGGTTGCATCATGGGAATATCCCGAATCAGTTCTACAATGAAACTCCTATTTAAAAGCCATGCTCGGAGATCACAGCTGCAACAAGGAGCACTCACTGGGCCTGAGTTTGGACATCACCACCGTGGGTATTTTCATCCCAGCTCAGTCCCCGGGCTCCTTTCACAGTCAGCAGAGCTGAATGGGCACCGCTAGGGGTGTTCTGTGTGAGCACACAAATGTCTATCTTGGGAGGAGAATAAACACCCTGAAAAAAGGCACGTTTCTCAGGGCTGGACTGCAAAGCGAGCCCATCTGGAGGTACCACATTTGCTCTGATGAATCCCACCTGACTCCGTTGCGTGTTTGCACAGCACAGCGTTGTGGATCCCAGCTCTGTGACTCAGACTGTGGGCAGGGTGAGGATAATAATACTCCCGCGGTTGTTTTCTTAGCTCCAGTGATGAATTTGACTCCGCAGTCGGTGTTCTTTGGCCAGCCCTAGGAATTAAAGCCACTGGCTTCTTGCTGGTGGAGGAGCTCCATTTCAGGGCTGGATGTTCTCTTGCCCTCACGCTGCTGTCCCTCTCCATGATCTGCAAGAAGAAGTTCACAGGTCGACTCGAGTCATTGCACAACTGTAAAAAACAAACCCTCATTAGTCCTTTAAACCTGGTCCTCGTGTTGGGAATTCAGGAGATTGGATTCAAATCTGTAGCAATGTTTAATTTCATATTCACAGCGGGGTGGTTGCTGTAAGTGGAGGAGCGAGTTCGTCTGCAGCACCAAATTGAATCTGAAAGTAAAATGCTTTTTATTACCACCAACCTCACAGCAGCGTCGCTCCAGGGCTCGGCTGCATCTTTTCTGTTTCCAGAGCTGCTGCTCTTCAGCTTCACGTTCAAATCCTTCCATCAAACCTACGAGCAGAGGCTGGAAACCCAACACGGTTTGTCATCTCCGCAGATGAACTGTCTGCAGGCTATAAATACTCGGTCTGCAGGGCAGCACCGTGCTGGGGGCCGTTGTAGCTTCACTTTTACAGGCACACTTTTTTTCAGATGAATGTTTGGAAGAATGTTCAATTCTACAAATCCCCAAGCTTGGATAATGTAAGAAAACAGCAATCAAGTCATTTTTGAGAGGGAAGAAGATGGAGACGAAGCCCTTTATTCATGGCAGGAATAAGAGGAAACGCTCCGGCTCTTTGGGATCAGGAGGGAGGGTTTCCTTTGGGGTCTCAGCAGTGGTTTCATGGGGCTCTAGAAATGCTTTACGGGTCCTGGGATCCAACACTGCCTATACAGGGCTTGCCCAGCAGTTGTGCTTCTCCACATCTTCCTCGCAGCCTACAAAGAGACGAGATGCGCTGCGGATGCATGTATAATGTAGCAGCTTGCAAAATATGTTCTGCCCCAAATCACTATTTGTTGGCAGATTTTTGGCTTTGGCTGATTTTTTTTTTTTTTTTTTTTTTTTTAATTTAATTTTGCTGCATTTTTTGGCTGAAAACGTTTTGGCCGAGCGTTGCTCACAACTTTTTTCCATTTGCGTCCGAAAATTCCCGGTTGGGGACAGTTGGATTTTGTCTGCGTGTTTGTTTCTTTGAAAGAGAAAAACATCGTGGGGGGAACTAATTTGAAGGCTGGAGCCATTCCCTGCTAATGGGTTGGTTTGGTGAATGACCCCAATTTCTGATCAAAACTTAATTTTGATGGAATTTCTCCAACTATCACCAGTATCTGACCACAGAGCTGTGAAACAGTCTCTGTGACTTAGATCCTTTGTGAAACTGGAGAGATCTGCATCACACACGTGCTGGAGGAGGCACCCAAAAAAAGATCTGTGGTTGTAATGAGCTGCCTACTATCTCTTGCTCCTATTAATAGCTCCTTTGTAGCCCAAATATTTGATGGGAGTGAAGCGATGTGTTGTGCACGGCCACAGGAGGAGGGATGAGTTGTGTTGGAGCAATACAACTGGGCAAGGACTAGATGGGAAAGCCAGCAGATGGGAAAGTTTGCTGGAAAATGCTGCTGAATTGCATAAAGTGCAGTGAGGAGCAGTTCCATGAGAGCAACGCAGTGGTTTCCTGGCTGTCTTTTGCTTGCAAATGGCTTAAAACCCATCAAGGGTTGAACTCAACGCAACAGAACCCTACAGCAATGGGATGTAGTTCCCCAAAGAAGAATGGAGTGGTGAGGTGCTGGAACAGGCTGCCCAGAGAGGCTGTGGATGCTCCATCCCTGGAGGTGTTCAAGAGCAGGTTGGATGGGGCCCTGGGCAGCCTGGACTAGTATTAGGTATGGAAGTTGGTGGCCCTGCCTGTGGCGAAAGGGTTGGAACTTGATGATCCTTGGGGTCTCCTCCAACCCAAGCCATTCTGTGATTCTGTGCATGGAGAGGGGCCCAATCCATCCCTGTGTAGGGTTCTGTTGCTGTCTGCAAGCTGTGGCACTGTCCTGCTCTTCCTAGCTAAGTTCTAGTTGTTTTTTGGGTGGTGCTGTGTGGAACCAGGAGTTGGACTCGATGATCCTTGTGGGTCCCTTCCAACTCGGGGTGTTCTATGATTCTATCGTTCTAAATGTTGCTGTTTTTCTGTTCTTTTGTTTTCTTCTTGTGTTCCAAGGTGGGCCTTAATGTTCTGGTACAGAGAGCAAACAAGTTTACCCCCGCCACTCGTCTCTTGATCCAGAGGTTTGTGCCATTCCCCGCTGTTGGTAAGAAATCACTCCTTTTCTCTGTATTTTCATACCCTGACCGTGGGTAAAAACTGCTGATGGGGAATGGATCCACCCACGGGGATGGATGGAGCACAACTCAGGTTGGGTCTGAGTCAGAGATGCACATGGGAAGTTGTGGGCTCTTCTGTTGCATCCCAAGGTGTCGTGAGCAGCAGGTTGTATCCGTGTCAGCATTGATTGAGAGCCCATAATTAATTTGTTTAGCTTAGCTCATAATTAATTCTCTAGTTCTTTTATTTGCGTACTGTCGTGCTTCATTATGTGTCAGGACATCAGGAATCCTCCTGCTAATTGCTGTTTTGGTGGCTTTGAAAGCTCTGAGTTACCTATTTGCAGACCTGGGTGAATTCCTTAATTAAGATATGCCTGCCCATTGCTTCTGAACTGCCAGCCTGCAGCCAAAGGGCAAAAGTTAGCTTTTTCTACGTGAAAAGCAGAAGCTAATGTTAGGCTCTTGTTCCACTGCACACAGGATTAAGCAGCTTCCCTGAGAATCAGAGAATCACCGAGTCGTTAAGGTTGGGAAAAGAGCACCAAGATCCCCAAGCCCAACCCATCCCACCATGCCCACTGACCAATGCCACATCTCCACAGTTATTGAGCACCTGCAGGGATGGTGACTCTACTCCACCAATAGCATAACAGTTTGTGTTGGGAGGGACCTTTAAAGGCCATCTGGTCCCATTCCTTGCAGTGAACAGGGACACCCACAGCTCCATCGGGTGCTCACAGCCCCATCCTGCCTGACCTTGGCTGTCTCCAGGGATGGGGCACCCACCACCTCTCTGGGCAACCAGTGCCTCACAGCCCTTACTGAAAGAAATGTTTTTCTTAGGTCTGGTTTAAATCTCCCCTCTTTTAGTTTCCCCTTGTCCTATGAAAAGAGGTGCACAGAGGGTTAGGGCAGACAGCTGCTTTTGTGTCTGAACCCACTTTCCAGTCAACCCTGCCTGCTTTCACAGAAGTCATTTCTAGCTTATATTGCCACATTTTTTTTTTCTAAATTCTGAAAATCAGATCGTCTATGCATGTATTTAATTATTTCTCATTTCCCCTTCTATTTGAAACCTTCATGAAACCTACATTTAATTGAATCATAGAATAACCTGAGTTGGAAGTGACCTAGAAGGACCGTCGAGTCCACCTTTGCATCACAGAGCATCTCTTCTGGTGCAGTTTTGTTGGAAAAAGAAAAAAGAAAGCAAGAAAACACAGGGGACTAAATCTGCTTTAAATGAATACTCAGTGTCTTTTTTACTGTGGCTTGGTGAGCTGAAGGGTTGGTACCACAGATAGTTTGATAGATGGGAAGAGTGGTCCAGTAGTTAGAATATTAGAGAGACAGAGTGTGCGTGTGTGTATGTTCCTCTTCTTCTCGAGTGTAAGGAGCATTTGTCACCACAAATCATCCTTGATTGCAGGGAGCTGCGTTCATATAGGGCTCACCCACCCACCACCCTCAAAAAATTAGACATTTGTTATATGACATGAGTTGAGATTAATTAGTGAATATTAACCCATCAAGCAACGCAGAAACACATTTTTGGAAGCGGTGGTACTGCAGCAACAGTGGCTTTGCATTAGTTCTGGTTGGAAAAACAAAATGTGGTGGGGGGGGGGGGGGGGGGTGGAGTTGCTGGAAAATGCCAGCTTGTGGAAAAGAAAACTTTTGGAGGAATTAGTAGCTTTTCTATGGAAAATTTTAAGGATTTCCTGCAGAGATTTGAGCGTTTCTGCACGGAACCTGGAGGAAGGCTGCAGCTGGGAAGGGTGTTTGTGGACCACCAGCCCCATGTGTTGCCCTGGGTGAGGGATTTGGGGGTAATTTGGGGAAGACAGCAGAAGATGAGGGGCAGAAGATGAGCAGGGGCAGGTTTTGCAGGAAGGTGATCTGTCCCCACTGAGGTGTGGGTGCAGGGCTGGGATTTCTCAGATGCTTTGATGGCCAACCCCAACGCATCCCTGTCGTGCCCCACCATACCCACCACTGCAAAATCAGTCCACAGAGCCCTTTTTCCCCCTAAAGCATGAAAGATGAGGGCAGACGGTCAGCAGGAGCACTGCTAACACCGTGCATGTCCATGAAAGCAACCTAGCCTTGTGTCTTTGGTTCAGACAAAACGGCTGTCCTCCTCTGAGCTCAAAGCTCAGCTGTCCTTCACAGCTCGATGAAATCACTTGTGGTGATTTCCATCACAGCTCCTCATATTCATTGTTTAAGAAGAGTTTATCTGCTGGATTAGTGAGAGAGGTAAATCCAGCTGGGGTGTACCTACCTTCAGAAGGAGCAGCTGTCCAAAATCAGTGCCTGGTTGTCCAAGCCCAGCTGGTCAGCAGGGTTAAGCCTTGTTTTGACTTGCCAAATCTCAATGTCAGGTGTAGAATGAATGGTCACAATGGGAGTTGGGAACATGGATGGACACCGACATCTGGAAATACCTGTATTGTTTTGTGTCAGTGTGCTCCTGATTGTGCCGTGTTAAAGGAAATTACTACCATTCCCTTCTTAAGCATCACATCTCTGTCTCAGTACAAGAATGAATCGTTGACTTTCAGAAACTTCTTGGCAGATTGATGAAAGCAAAGCTGAAGAGATGGTGTGGAGAACAGAAGCCTGCCATGTGGTATTGACCGGGGCTGCGATGCTAATCATCATGCTTTTCTCATCCTCAGCCAGTGCCAATATCTGCAACGTTGTCCTGATGAGGCACACGGAGCTGGAAGAAGGAATTGATGTTTTGGACAATAATGGAAACATCGTCGGCTCTTCCAGAATTGCTGCAAAACATGTATGTACCTGAGCTGTACCTGGTGAGCACTTGCACATACACAGCTGGCCTTCAGAGGGTGGTGAGGCACTGGCACAGGTTGCCCAAGGAGGCTGTGGATGCCCCATCCCTGCAGGCATTCAAGGCCAGGCTGGATGTGGCTCTGGGCAGCCTGAGCTGCTGGTTGATGACCCTGCACACAGCAGGGGATTGGAACTGATGATCATTGTTGTCCTTTTCAACCCAGGCCATGCTATGATTCTGTGATTCAGGCTCAGCAGCTCCCACAGCTGTAGGAACTGATGGAACTGATGATTTAGAGCTAGAACTGGATGGCCTCTACTCATCATGCATGAAGAATTAAGCTGCAAGACTTAATGCCTCTTTGCAGCCATGCATGTGGTTGGGTGGCCACAGAGTGGAGTGTGCTGGTGGACACAAGCTCATGTCATGCATAGATTGGAGTATGCTGGTGGACCCAGGCTCATGCCCAGCAGCCCACTGGCTTGCCACAGTGGTTTGGAAGGGAGCAGACTGCCATCAGGGAGATCCTGCACCACCACCCCACTGCATTCACAGCCTTAGGATTTCTTAGTGGTAACTTGTAAGCAGTTCACGTTGAATTCGAAGCAGAGATAACTTACACCTTTTTCTAAGTGAGGAAGGCTTCATTCTCAAGCTGAGTTGCATTTTAACCCTTGCCATGTCAGAACTGTGTTAACACTGCCAACCCAGGCTCCGTAAGGGCAGCCAGATGTTTGTAGCCTTGTGCTAACACCTGGCTTGTTTTTCCCCTGTTGCCTTCTACTCTCTGCCATCTGCTTGCAATTACTCCCTTTTTTTCCCTTCTTGCATACTTTTGTCTTCTGAGCATCATCTGATTGTCTGAGGCGTGTTGTTTCCAAGTGGGCTTTCATCTGAAATGTAAAGCATGTACAGAAGCACACGCCCAGGCAGAGGAGTTAATAATATAATGCTTGGCATTTCTCTCGCTCCTTCTGTCCAAGGCTCTTAAGGCACTTCATAGACAGCAATTAATGTACAGATTTACAGTCCTAGGCAAGAAATGGGAGATCTCTAATATATCTCCATATTGTTGTTTAACAGGGAGCTTAAAACAATCTGTTGAAGGGCTCAGAGCTTCTTGATTGAGCCAGTTTGCCTCACTTAACATCACTGGCTTCAAGACCTTGCTTCCCCTCTCCATCCTAATGGTCCAGGGGAAGACAGGCAGCATAGAAAATAGTTATTAAAATTGGAGGTACTGATTTAAGTGGAGTTGAAGCTTTAGATTTCAGAGGACTTCTGCTCAGATGCCGTGTTGTCCTGATGCTTCTTCCTGAATGGCACAGTGCTGGTTTTTGGGGTGTAAAATTTGACAGATCCTTAGGGCTACACATCTGTGCCTCTCTGAGACCTTCTGGTTGGAAAGGATCAAGTGCTCCCAAACCTGGCTGGATGTGTAAACATCAGCATTCCCACCCCAGACCTGCAGTAATCTCTACCTACATCTGGCAAAGCCCCACACATGGTCAGAGTGCTTGGGGCATCCCATGGAGTGCTGACAAAAGTGGCTGGAAGAGGTAAATGGAAACACAGTGCTGCCTCCTAGAGCATCCATGGTCATGTTTAGGTCTCATCTCAGGGGATTTGTATCTGTCATGCTGCCAAGCTGTTCTACAGCAAGTCTTGTGCTGGGGCTGGAACTCAAGTAAGGGAGAAAGGACTGGCACTGCTCCTTAACCCATCTGGAGATATTTCACCATGCAGCATCTGCCAGGCAGCACCATCACGTTTGGGTGGGGATATGGTGGTGTGACTGTTGTGGTCCCGTGCATTAACACCACAGAGGCTATGAGATGCACAGCCCTACTGCCTGCATTCATCTCTGCTTTACACCCAAGCAAGGGCTCCAGCCCAACGTTTGTAGCAACAGAGCAAAAATCACTTGGGTACAAATAGCTGATATCAAACTTGGAAATGTGTTCTGGTATATTTATTCATGTCTGCAACATGAGAGGCCAGGCAAAGCATTTCTGTGTCTGCACACCGACTGCTCAGCGCAGGTAAATGCTGAGATTTGTTGTAAATGTCTTACATTTGTTGGTTTGTTCTTCCTTTCCAGGCACTGCTTGAAACAGCCCTGACTAGAGTGGTCCTGCCGATGCCTATACTGGTTCTACCTCCAATTATTATGTCCATACTGGAAAAGTAAGTGTTGGGTAACATGCAGGGGGCACTTCTCCAGAGGGGGGGAAGAAAAGATCCTCAGTAGGTGTTATTCAGTGATATTTCTTAGCATTGCTCCATCGAGGACTTTTTTTTTGGGGGGTGGGGAGGGAAATTTTGGCCATTGGTGTAGGTTGAGAGACAGAGCACAAATAATCAGAAATGTTGACTTCCAGCTCTTCTTACACCAGAATCATTCCTCACAGATGTTCTTCTGGAGGACTAGGAGAGTGGGCAGGATTATTATTCATGTCTAAATGCCTCCTTTCACATTTCTTGATGACAAAAAGCCCCAACAACCTGCCCTTGCCATAGGACCTTCTTCTCAACTTGCTTTCCAACACCTCTGTTTTTTTCCTTCTGCTCAGTCTTTGGAGACTCATCAGTGCAGTGAAAGACAGAGATGCTAAAAGGCTTGTTGCCTTTGTCCAGACAGCCAAGCTGGAAGCACTCTTTGAACAAATTTGTTGATAGTGGTTGCTCTAAAGCACTCTGCTGACAAAGTAAATAGCAATTAACACAACTGGGGATTGACCCATGGCTTTGGTTAGCCTTGTGTGCCCTTGTAGAAATACCCCTGGGCAATTTGCTCTCCTTAATGGAAGGGTTGGGTCTGCTTCTGTACGCGCTGAGATTTTTAGCTTCCCAATATTTTTACAAATATTTCTTTTCCGTATCCCTCCAGCACCCAGAGGCTCACACTGAGATCAGTTCTTCCCATGAGCTGGGTGTGAGGAAAAATGCAGCAACAAACTCACCTGGAACTCAGAAGTCAGTGTTTTCAGCCCTTGCTGACAAGATGTGCTGCTTTTCAAATGACTGTGGTTGTTCCCTGCAGCAGGGCACAGTCTTGCTAAGTGGCAGCCTGTGTTCCTCCTGACTTCACACAGCCGTGTGTTGCTTTCTGGTTCTGTCTTGGTGAGCTGTTGGAGAGGGTTCAGAGGAGGCCACAAAGATGGTCAGAGGGCTGGAGCACCTCCCTATGAAGACAGGCTGAGGGAGCTGGGCTTGTTCAGCCTGGAGAAGAGAAGCTGCAGGGTGACCTCATTGCAGCCTGCAGTACCTAAAGGGAGCCTACAGACAGGAGGGGAGTCAGCTCTGTGAAAGGGTAGATAACAGCAGGACAAGGGGAAATGGTTTGAAGTTGAGGGAGGGGAGATTGAGGTTGGATGTGAGGGGGAAGTTCTCGACAGAGAGAGTGGTGAGGTGCTGGAACAGCTGCCCAGAGAAGCTGTGATGCCCCGTCCATCCCTGGAGGTGTTGAAGGCCAGGTTGTTTGGGGCCCTGGGCAGCCTGGGCTGCTATGAAATGTGGAGGTTGGTGGCCCTGTGTGTGGCGGGGGGTTGGAGCTTCGTGATCCTTGAGGTCCCTTCCAACCCGAGCCATTCTATGATTCTATGAGCAGTTCAACCAGTGGGGCCACCCCACAGTACAAACTATAATATCCCAGGAGGATCTTTGCTCTTCCAGTTGCCATAAGCACCCAAAAATCTCGATGTGCAGAAACTCAGAGTTTGCAGAAAATTGGTCAGTGAATGATCATCTCCAACGCTGAGAACCATCCTGGGTCTTGCAAAGCACCCATAGGCTTAAATAACACTGATAATGAAACACGCTTTGTTCTTGTGGCATCACCACCTCCTGCACTGATGCCATGAGGTTTAACTGAACGCGGGCATGCTCTGGGCGAGATGCACTGAAACAAAATTCATCTGTCAAGCAAATGGGGATATGCAGGAGCATTTTTTTTTGTTCAGAAAGTCATCGTTTTAACTAAAAGGCAGTCCAAGTTCAGGTTTGGGAGAGAATACTTTCCTTGTCACCACCCACCAAATGAAACTCTGTAGGTGTAAAATACACAGGCACGGATTTGGCCTGAATTCCACTTAGAGCTCTGTGCCTACTGTTGGATTTCCCTTTAAATGTCTTTGGATTCCTGGAAGCCTGAATGAGAAGGGAGAGGGACAGAGAGTGGGGAGCAGTTTGGCCACGCAGAGGCTGTGGTTTGGCAGCTGGTATTATGGGATGTGGAAGCATCCCTTTCCATATCTGAGGGATTTGCAGTCCATGTGGGCTCACAGATCTCTTAAATGAAGGGTGCAGGCATAGAATCATAGAATGGCTTGGGTTGGAAGTGACCTCAAGGATCATCAAGCTCCAGCTGTGCCACATGCAGGGCCACCAACCTCCCCATTTCATACCAGACCAGGCTGCCCAGGGCCCCATCCAACCAGTCAGAGTGGAGACATCATTTTGTAAATAAATTTGAAGCATTGGGTGAAAAGTGTAACTTTTAAAATTTAATAGAATTTGGGTTAGCCAGGGAATTGTTATCAAGCCTGGGAGTCGTTATCACGGCATGTATTATCAATTTATTTATACAAGTCCTCACAGCATCTATAAATAAAAAAGAAGATGAGGGCTGTGGCTCAGTGTTTGAAGGCTGGGGCTCTGGAAGCAGAAGTCCCAGTCTGGAAGCTCTCCTGAGCCACGTGCAGCTGCGATTGTGCTGCAGGAGGGAACAGCTCTGCGGGGGACGGTGCTGCTTTTCGGGGGGTTGCAGCACCCAGGAGCAAACCACGTTCTCCCAGCGGTGGTTTTTGGTTCTGCAGAACCTGCTCCCTCCTTTTTGTCTCGGCGTCGGGAAAGTTTATTTTAAGTGGCCAGTTCCTGGTCGCCGTCTTTCCACTTGGATCCAGGTCTTTCCTCTCTCTCAGCCATCTCTCCATCTGCATGTTTTAACTCCCCCAGCTGCCTCTCTCGTCTCTTGTGCCATTTTTTTTCAGCTCTCTTGGCTTCTCTCGTCTCTTTGCCTGCTGTGTATTTTAACTCCCAGGGCCGCCTTCTCTGCTCTCCAAGTAATTCAATGTTACCTCCCACTGCTGAGCTCCGCGGCGCTCCATTCTTTCCCCATGTTTCATGCATTTCCTGCTGCTTGGACGCTCTGTTGAAGCAGCTAACATATAGAATCAATGTTTATTTTGAGACTGCATATGCCATGCGGGGAACACGGTGTCAGTTATTTTGTGCAGATGTATTCTCTTTTAAGTTTTATAAATAATATCTGTGTTGGCAACTTTAATACGGGAAAATATTGGTTTTGTATTGTCTGTGAGATGGAGAAGACTCATCCGTGGGATCTGACTGACACTGGGTCAGACAATGGAAACTTCACTGGTACCTCTGCATTACAGAGTGTTAGGACAGCTACATAGAACTGCAGGATCATTCAGGTTGGAAAAGGCCTCTAAGATGACCAAGCCCAACTTTAACCCACCCCACTATGCCTACTGACCATAGAACCACAGAATCAATCAATGGCCTGGGTTGAAAAGGATGACAATGATCATCTAATTCCAACCCCCTGTTATGTGCAGGGTCACCAACCAGCAGACCAGGCTGCTCAGAGCCACATCCAGCCTGGCCTTGAATGCCTGCAGGGATGGGGCATCCACAGCCTCCTTGGGTTTTTTTTTTTTACCATATCCCCCAATGCTGTGGTTCTTAAACACCTCGAGGGCTGGTGACTCTGCCAGCTTCTCTGGACAGCCTGTTCCAATGACTGCATCTACTGCATTAAGTTGGACTTCTTGTCCATCAGACGTTTCCCTTTATTTACATGCTTCTCTGAATCCTTCTATGTAGTAGTTATGATCAAACGTGTGAAACTGCCCAAGTTTCTCCCAGAAAGCTGCCAGCCAACTGCCACCATCCAACACTTCTCCTGTATCCTTTGCCTGACTCCGTGCAGATCTGAAGCCCATTGCAGATGGCCTGTGTGCACACCATCCACATCTGTACGCACGCCCAGCCTCAGGTTCCCCTGAGCTCTGAAATTCAGTGGCACGTGGATTGTGTGATCTGGATGAGCAGTGGACAGGCAGACCACTGCCCTGTCCATGGACACTTGGAACCAAAGGCTTCCAGTGGTGATAGAAGAACCTACATTCTTCTCATTCCCATCTCCTTAACCTAAAGCCTCTTTTCTATCTCTATAATTCAAGCAGCTTCAAAGGGTCTGATGTGCAGAAGGTGGTCTCAGGGTTGCTCCAGGGACTGGAGCACACATCCCTAAAGTTGACCTTGCATGGAGGAAGAAGGATGAAATTGGTACTGTTAGCAATGTGCAAGAGCTGAGACAGAAACAGGGAGCAGGAGAGATGTGTCCCTGAAAGGGAAACATTTCTACTCTTTCTTCATCCCCATGTTGCCCCAATTTTAAGGCTTGCAGAGCTGCTAGAACCACAGCAAATCAGTTGTCCCATAAAGCTCATCAAATCGGGACAATCCAAGGCTGGATCAACTTAGGGAGCTGCTCTGGCCAAGTCATATTGATGGTGTGAGTAATAGAATCATAGAATCATAGAATGGCTTGGGTTGGAAAGGACCTCAAGGGATGATGGATTCTCGTGATGGACAGTCAGTGCTCAGATCATGGTTCCATGGTGGTGGCTTTCTTAAGCTTCAGCTACATCTGTTACTGCAGAAATGGGCATGGAGATCCTCTTGGACCTTATGTTCATGACCTTTTGCTGGATTTATTCTTTTGGTGGTGTTTGCAGAATGCGTTTCCTACAGGTGCTTTTCACAGAATCACAGGGTTGGAAGGGACCTCAAGGATCATGAAGCTCCAACCCCCTGCCACACACAGGGCCACCAACCTCCCCATTTCATACCAGCCCAGGCTGCCCAGGGCCCCAAACAACCTGGCCTTGAACACCTCCAGGGATGGACGGGGCATCACAGCCTCTCAGGGCAGCTGTTCCAGCACCTCACCGCTCTCTGTAAAGAATTTCCCCCTGACATCCAACCTGAATCTCCTCTCCCTCAACTTCAAACCATTTCCCCTCGTCCTCTTCTTCAAGTCTCTCCAACCAGCTATAAACCCTCTGTGAAGTTTGTTTGAGCTAAACAGCTGCCAGCAGTGACACCTTAAACTGCCGTGGCTGTTTCCAGAGTAAACATTGAAACTGCTCCTTTAATTACGTCAATCAAACAACAAAAAAAATCCCCCAACATCATTCCATTTGCATCTGCTGCCTCCACTGGAGCAGGCACCGGTCCATTGCTGGAACAGGAGATTCTCTTCAGCATAGACATAGAACAGTGGTGGTCTGGGTGGACAGGATGGCAGCCACAGCCCCTGGTCCAAGGAGGAGCCAGCTTTCCCCAAATGACCCCAAATGAGTGCTCCAAACCATTCTGCAGGTAGCAGTAGGGCTGTCTGAAGCAAGACGTGGTGCTGGCATTGGAGGTTGTGAGGAGAGCACGGACTTGGCATGCACCATGTGGGGTGTGACAGCCACTCCCGTGTTATGTTCGTGTCTCATGGGCCATTTGAGTCCTGGATGCTTTGGGTTATCCCAAGCTTCAGCCCCCTGTGCTTTCCTTACCCCGCTGGCATCCGCGGCGTCTTGCGATGTATGTATTAGCTTTGAACCTGTTTACACCAAACACTGCAGAAACCCCACAGAATCTGTCAGCTGGGAGACTTTGGTTAACTCCTGTCATATTTAGTTTAGCATCTGACACCTCCTCCTAGACAAATACAGCTCTGGTTCACTGAACCCGATAACTCCTTTTTAGTACAGCGACTGACTTCCATATGGAATAAATTACAGTACCTCTTGAAAAACGCCAGAGGCAGCTGCCAAATTATGCAAAATTTAAACCACTAATGAACAATGTGATGAAAGTTGAATGAAGGTGTATTTACAAGATCTACAACACGCTGTCTCTGCGGAGCAGATGTACTGTCTGTACAAGCATGCGTGTGGCTGTGTGTGTACCTACACGTACGTGCACACTCATGCATACTGAAATGCTACCCGTGAGGTTGAGCTAGTTTAGGCATCTCCTTCCGTGTGCTACCTTGGAGCAATGAGCCAGAAGTTGCCCAGTGTGGTGCTGCTTGTTTCTATCCACCAGGCACATTTTGTGAAAGCAAATTGAGGAAGGAATAAGAATGAGGGGACTTGGAAAGGGGCTGAAGAGTCATGGAGTCATAGAATGGCCTTGGGTTGGAAGGGATCTCATCTCATTGCAACACTTTGCTGTGGGCAGGAGTGAACCTTAAGGGAAAAAAAGAAGAAAGAAAGGGAGGAGGGTTAGGGTTGCAAAAATATCCATTTTATTCCATCTAAAGGCAAATGCATGAACACTGATTGTTTATGCTGGTCACTAGAGAGGCAGTGTTGGTGTCAATAACTTGGTGTCTGAAACAGGAATGATAGATGATATGAAATCATGGAATCATTGAGGCTGGAGAAGCCCAACCCATCCCTGCCATGCCTATAACCCTCAGTGCCACATCTCCATGGTTCTGGAACATCTCCAGGGACAGTGGCTCCTCCACTCCCTGGGCAACTGTGCCAGAGCCTGACCACTCTTTCAGAGGATATTATTGTCTTCCAACATGACACCTTCTCTTGACGTGGGCTTTTCATCCCTTTGTTGTTCAGTGTGAGTGCCAATAAGGTTTAGTTCACCAGAGCTTTGCCACTCGTGACCTATGCATATGACAGCGTATAGAACTACTGTTCCCGTGGAGGAAGAGCTTCACGTTATGCTTCTGCAGAATTCAGAGAAGACAAGCTCTTCTGAATATAGCAGTCTGCTTTAGAAGATGCCAATGGCAAAGCTGGGCCATCAGGATCTGCAGGTTCAGACCTCCTCGAGACAGAGGACAGCACTGTAAACTAATGAATTCTTCAACAAATAGTGACTCATTACTTTTTTTTTTAACCTGCTGTAATATAATACTCTGCAATGAAGCCATTAGGAAGTATAGAATCATAAAGTCATTGAAGTTGGAGAAGACCTCCAAGACCGTCCAGTCCAGCTGTCCACCTACCACCAATATTGCCCCACTGACCATGTCCCTCAGTACAGAATCTAAACATTTCTTGAGCACCTCCAGGGACCAAAGTCTAATCATCCACTTCCAATGGGGAAGCTAATGGGTGAAAAAAGGGTTTTGATTGCATTTGACAGCATTTGACAGCTAACAAAGTGCAGCGTGCAATATTTAACTTAAAGTTCTTTGGAGATCTGTGTCGAGAGCAGAGCTCCTGGGGACAGAAGAAAAGTGACCTCTCAACTGATTATGAGTCATTTATTCTGAACTACACAAATTTTAGAATCTGAATCCTAATTAAGACATTACACTGCATGTGTTAATTGGTCCCTCTCCTTTCTAAATCAAGCCATAACTCTTCTTAATTAGGAGGTTAGCCCTTGTAATTTGAACTGGCCTGAGTCTGAAGCACTCGTGGAAGTCACACCTAGGGGCTGTACTGGGGATCATTTTAAATTGGTTGGATTTTTACATGGGTGATTATAAGGTCCCCAACAGGGCAGTAATTGAAGAGGGTGCAACTTCCAAATGAAGGTGTCAGGGTGGTGCAGGTGATGTCTGGGCTCTGAGCTGTGCTCCAGGAGGCTCCAAGGAGGCTGACCCGATTTGCACCACGAGAGCCCTCGTGGAGCACAGCAACTCAAGCAGCAGAGTAAGTCACTTCCAACAGTGCATCCCAGGGACAGGTTATTGCAGCTCATTGCTGGCAGTTCTCAGATGTCTCATTTATGGCACCCAGTGAGTGCTGGTGGCATGAGGCAGGGAGCAGAAGCTTCTTCTCCTCAGACAAACACTTATTGGCTTTGCTTAGGTCACGTTCTATGCCAAACAAAGTAGCTGAGTATTGGAGAAGAGAAGCCTGTCTTTCACAGCACAAATCAGTAGGATCAGTTGTGTCTCCATGGCTTATCAGCGAGGAGCTGAGACGTTTGAGGAGCTCTGGATCCCATTTGCCTTCCCTGTTACGCATTTCCCTCCTTACTACACCAGTTCTCAAGGCAGCTTTCAGCAAGGATTGCTAACAAAGGGCGGAGAGTCTGAGTGTGCAGACACACAGACAGCATTCAGCAGGGTAACGAGTTCCCACACATCAGCTGCTCCGTTGTCATTCATCAGGTGCCTGCTTGCAGCCTGCAATAAACACGGGGCAGGCGGGGGTTGAGGTAAGCTGTTATCTTGCATGAGCTGCACTGGGAGATGCACCTGCAAAATAACCCAGGCTTTACCCCAGGCTGACGGCGTGCCCCGATGTGGGAAATGTTGCCTGATGTGTTCTTGTGCTGCCATCCCAGCAGAAAGGCATTGACCTGCAGGTTTCTGCCCACGTTTGATGCCCTCATCAGCATCCACAAGATGGTCAGAGTGGGGATGGACGTTGGGGCTAAGGAACAAAGGCCAGAGCTAGCAACTGTGGCTGCCTCTCCATGTTGCTAAAATGCTCCGAATGCTCAAACAAAAATCACCACCAATTTGCTGTCTCAGTTCCATTTGTTTTGGGTTGGTAGGAAGAAGTTGAATGCCTGCAGTTTTGGTGCAGCTAGCTTCAGAACAAATCCCTACTGAATTATATGTGACACCCTTGGTATCTGTGAACCATCTGAGATCCCGTATCCCTAAATATACACAAATTGCCATCTTCTATTAGCAAGGTCTTGTTCCTGACTTTCAGTGTTAATTGCATCAGAAGGGTCACTTAATGGGTCATTATCAGAGCCTGACCTTGCAGTATCTTTACACATTTGCTCTTAACAACTCCTGAACTGGTGGATACCCCCCGAGGACAGCTAGTGTTAAAGCATCCTTATCACCCACTCTGCAGATGTTTCATTTTTAGCAAATTAAGGTATTGTCAAGTTTACTACTTTATTACCACGTTAACAAAGTCGTATGGCTTTTGCAGTACGGCTGTGTGATATGGCTGACAATGTTCACAGTGTCTCTCAGGAGTCTGATTTCCTTCTGCTCACCCAACAGTCTGCAAAGTCTTAAAGCAAGCAATGCCTGTCCATGGCCAGATCACCTTGGGTGCAGCTGACACCACTGTGGGATGCTTTGAAACGGGAGAAACGTTGTGAACTGATCCTGTTTTAAGTCCCTGGAGGTGCTCCAGAACCATGGAGATGTGGCACTGACGGCCATTGGGCATAGTGGGATGGGTTGGGATTGGGCCTGGGGATCCTGGAGGTCTTTTCCAACCTGAATGATTCTTTGATTCTATGACATCTTCTAGGATCTTCTGTAGGTGAGCTTGAACTTGCTCTCTCCAGCTGGGAGGACCCACTAAGAGCAACCTGCGCCACCTGTGGAGGAGAACAGTGGGTCTGGTTGAACGCCATGTGGATGATGGCATGAACTAATTTATCTGCAAGATGGTTTAAACAGAACCTTTCCTTTCCAGGACATCGCTCCTGAGGTCCCGTCCCCGGATGGTTCTCCCAGTCCAAAGCCTTGTGTGCCTCGCTGCCTTTGGCCTGGCCCTTCCCTTGGCCATCAGTCTCTTCCCACAGATGTCCGAGGTCAGTGTGCTGCTTCCTGCAGAGGGTTGTCTCACATTGTCTTATCAGTGCTGTGGCTTGTTTTGCTCTCCTGGGTAATCTGTCAATGTAAGTTCTGTTTGTTTCAAAAACTGATTTGAACAAAACCAGTCTCTACTGGTCAATTCTGTTGTACTGGTATTGGTCTCTCCTGGTTAATTCCATTTTTTTTTTGGTCTGGATGGGTTTATTCCCAACTTCTAGCCAGGGAATCTCGCTGTTCACTTGTCTGCAAGGCTGAAAAACACATTACAAATTTTCTGTTGTTCTTCTAGCTGTTTACAGACGGAGATGAAACTGTCCCTTAATTTTCTGTTTAAGAAACAGAATAGATCTCAATCTTGGAGCTTCTTGCTAAAAGACGTGTTTTCTGATGCTTTAATGATTCATGTGGCTCTTTCTTAAACTTTTTCTAATTAGTCAACATCCTTTTTGGAGCATTTCCACGAGAACCAGACGTGGTATTCCAGTAAGAAGTTGCACAAGTACCAGTTACAGGGCTGTGTGATTTGCTTGCTTGTGCTCGAGTTCATACATCCGCAGCACGCGTTAGTCATTTTGGCATGGGTTCAGCTTTAATTCCCTGTCCATCAGTTGTCTGCTGTGATCCCAAGTTCTGCTCAGTGGTTTTCATTATGAAGGACTGAGGGCTCTTTCCGGGTCCAGCAACTTTTGGAGGAACACATCCATAGTTCCCCATGTTATGTTCCTGGATCCAGGGAAAGGAGCTTTATCAACAAGAAGGTAGCAATGGACTTTCCTGAAAGCCCTTCTTTGAGAAAACCAAAGAGGAAGGACCACAGGAGGTGGTCATTGAGCCCAGAAGCAACCCAGAAGTAACATTGCCACTCATCCCCCAAAATGATGTCCCATGCATTCACTGCTTTCGGAGGCAACTTCAGGTTTGACCATCACACAATACACACCAACTTCCTTTCTGCAGTTCCCCATGCAAGTTAGAGGTCTCTGTATCTTAGTCTCACAATTATTTACCACTTTCTCAGAATCTCTGTCTTCTCAAACCATTAGCAGCACTCTTTGTCATTTTCTCCCTCCTCACTGATGACACACGTGTTTAAGAACTTTGGCCAAACCAAATCATTCTTTCAAACACAGACAAGAAACTGACCCTAAAATTCTGTATGATTTAGCACATTTTCAGTGTTTTCATTATATTCATTATCTCAGTTCTTTATGTAAAAATGAAGCTCACAAGGTCCTTTTGCATTTTGTACTGAGCTTTATGAGTGACTGATAGTCTGTATCAGGCTGCATCTGATCTTGTGGCTTGGAGAAGGGTGTTGATGCTAACAGCTATATGAATCTTAGCCCACAGGAAAAATAAAGGATATACAAATTACAGACATCAGGCAATACCAAAAACCATACAGCATCACTTGAAAATGACCTTCTAAAAGCAGATGAAATGTTATCTGCAGTGTAAACATGAGTCAGTGCTGATTAGTAGATCAAACAGAATGACGTGCTCCCTGCCCACACGTCATGTCAGTGAACAGAAACCACTACAGCTGGTGGTGCAGCTCCTCACCTGCTGGGGTCTTGTCCTTGCTCAGCTGGAGCTGTGTGCACGCAGCTGGACCTCAGGTCTTTTCACTCCACGAAATCAGGTTTTCCAAAGCAGCCTTTGTCTGATCCGTCTTCCTGTTAGGTTTGCATCACTATAAATGTGTGTGAAAATGTGTAAGGGCATTCCTCCCATTCCTCACCAGCATATCCCCAGGTCCTCTGAGGTGCTCAAGTGATCAGAGTCAGTGACATGGAATCACAGAATATTCCAAGTTGAAAAAGACCCTAAGGATCATCGTGTCTGACCCGTGGCTCCACATGGGACCACCTGATGACTTATCTAAAACAGTCCTTCCAGAACCATTGGGTGTTTGAGCATTGACCTCTCTGGGTGTGTATGGACATCAGTACGTATGACTTCATGTGTGTATTTGCTTTTCTTTATAACTGCAGCAGGTGAAGCAGCTGTGAGTACAGCACAACCAAGATGATGCTGTTGTGATGAGCTCTGCTCAGCGAGTAAATTATTAATGACAAGATGCAATAGGTGTTTTCTGTTCCAAAAATATGATTGCGGTCTGAGCAGCAAGCCTTTCAGGAATTGTGAATGAGCCAAATTCTGCCCTTAATCACTCACACACAGTCCATTTTCTTTAGTCAGAGGGCAAACACAGAAGCTGATGTGTTATCAAGTCCTTGTTTTAGCATGGGAGCTTGACTGGCTACATTGGATCCTCTCTATTCAGAGCATGTTTCAAACTTGGGGTGAGTTTGCAAGCAGAATTAAGTATCCTTGTGATAGATCTAATGTATGTCCCATATGAATGCAGGATTATTATCAAGTGTCAACTAAATGCCCCTTCCCTGCTTGCTAAATACCTGCCAGCCTCAGAGCACCATGGTCATGCTCTGCTCGCATGACCTGGCATTGAATGAGTGGTCTTCCCAGCTTTGATTCTGATTTACAGCAAAGTACCTCAGCCGTGGCTCCTGTTTTAAAGGAGCGTAAGAGAAATCAAGATTTATCTCTGATTGCATACAGGAGCATCAGTATCACCTAAATGAAAATTCTGAAGCTGAACAGCCTTCACATGCTGGGAAAAGGAATGCATCCAGACCTTCTCATGGGCCTAGCTAATACCTCCAGTCATCCTTGATTTCGTACAGATGGAATCCCCTTTGCTGGCATGCCAGAATTAGAGCTTTTTTTCTAGGTCTTACGGTGCTGAAGATCACCTTGTAAAAATAAAACTTCAGTGTGAGCCACGAAGGCATGGGTCCTTGAGATGGAGCACGCTTAAGACACTCAGAAACATGCTTTTATCCCAGCATGGTGTTAACTCCAGCACCTAAACGCATCAATATGCATTAAATAACTCACTGCTGTTAAGTTTGGGAGAATCATCTAGTTAATGCATTTAGCCCACAACCTTGAACTGCCTCCCATGCCCCCCGGGGAATCTCTCTTCTAGCCGCCTATCCTACAGCATCCCCACTGACAACTCCTACTCAGCTATGCACTGCCAATAGAAACAGCTGTGACAGTTCCAAACTGAAAATGGGACTTGTGCAAATGAAATTCAGTGTAGCAGCAAAAGAAATAACCATGGGGTTGCTCCGTTGATTTTCCTCCCTTTGGTCCCTGCTCATCCAGATCATTCATTTTTCGGCATCCAAGAGGAGCTTCCGAGGGGCTACAAAGGTTACCTTGCCCAGTGCCAAGTGTCATGGTGATAAAGGAAGGATAAAGCCAGGTGAGAGGTGGAGCTCAGACAAGAGCAGATGGAAGAGAAGCCCTTCCACTCGCCATCACACACGTGCCCTCACCACAGGTTGAGTTTAAAGGGTCTTGGTAGCCAGTTGGGGCAAAACGAGCCATCTTCTGGAATGAGGCTGATTGCAGCTGAAAGCCTTTTCTTAAAAATAATCTTCCTTTTGGATCTCCAGGACAAGGGGAATAAACAGCCTAAAATCCAAGGCTGAGCTATTGTTTTCCAATCTGTTTTAGCCTTCATCTTGTTGGCAGGCTGCTTTAGAAAAGCAAAAGGTTAATGAGCCAATGTGCAGTGGGATTATTGCAGTAAAGATGACAGTGAACCAGTAATTACTAATTAGATGCAGTTTAACAGGAGGAACAAGTGAAATCTCCTCTTCACCAACTGTCAATAATTAGCAGATTTGGTGAGGTTGAAATGTGTCCACAGTTAAAAGGCTGATTTTTTAATGAAATGGCACTTGACAAAAGAGCTGTATGGAGGTCACAGCCATAGCCCTCGAGACGCTTCCCTATACCATACTTAGGAGGGAAATCAGATGCAAGACAGCAGGGGGTCCCCATGAAACCATTTCTCCCTTGGGATTGCATCGCATGGGGGGAGGGGAGCAAGAGGGATTCTCTGCAGTAATTTTGTCCAACTTGGATGAGAAGCAAAGGAAAGGATTTGCCAGCTGCCATGGGGAAAATTGTTTGAGAAGTGAGAAGTTCTGTGGTATTTCTTTGCTTTTGGGTTTGAGGAATGGTTTTTGGGGAGCCTGGTAACGTCAGTGTGTTGGTCAAAGTCTACCCTTGGGGTGGAGGTTGACCTTGAAAGGAAGTCTGCTTAGTAAAGAAGGAATGGCACGAGGTTCTGAAGGACTGGCAGGAGGCTGGAAGCTCAGCTGTATGTGGCTGCCAAGGACTGAAGAAGATTCAAGCCATACCCTGAGGTTTTGGCTTCCTACTGACACGCAGATGATGCTCCTTCGTTGACTTAAGAGGTTTCTTCCCTATGTACTGTTTCTGTTAGGGCAAAGTAACTAGTGACATAGACAACAGTTTCTGTCTTTTCCATGTGAACTAAAAACGTAGAGGTGATTCTTGTGAGCCCATTAATGCCCATTACTTAAGCAGAACCCCCCAGGGTTTACATGGCACTACGTGGTTTAATGCTGACGGGGCTGGAGACTAATTTAAACACATTTAGAAATGTGTTGAGACTTGTTCTGGCCCACAGATGAAGGGTGATGCTTAATAGGGTATGCACCAAGTGTTCTTCGATGAGGATGGCCTCGTATCTGTCGGGTTGGAGGGCAAATGAGTGATGCCTTTCACACAAAGGGCATCTGGAAGGGGAAATTGTTGGCAGAGGAGGTGATGCTTGGGGAGCAGCAGGACGACACTGCCATGACTGCACACGAAGGCTGGAAATGGTTGCACAGAACTCAAATGTAGGTTGCCAGGTTGTCTTTTAAAATAAGTAACAGCCCACGGAAGTCGTAAGCTAGCTAGATCTCTACCTGTAAATCCAGCACAAGCTGGGTTACTGGCCCAGCCTTATTGATAGAATCATTAGGGTTGGAAAAGACCTCTGAGGTCATCAAGTCCAACCACCTACCCATCATCACCACCATGCCCACTGTTAGCCCTTGTGGATATACCTGTTGTCCCCAGAGCCTCGGCGTTGATTCTGGCTCCT